TGAATATTTTCCTATAATTACATATTTAATGCTTTAATCCTACCTCGTTTTTTGGCTAATACATGCTGTTGATATTTTGGGTCCTACTCCTCCATCCACCCCCCTCCCCATTTTATTGAGTCATGTTTGTGTATAGACATTTTTTTCAAAACATGATATAAGCTTATCTTACATTGCTTTATTCACCAACTCTGTGTAATAAACATCGTCCCCATCAGCGAGCCCTCATCCGTACTAGTCCCTGAAGTACAGTAATACTGCGCACCATCCACCGTACATAGAGTTGTGTTGTAAACTGCTCAATCAGTCCCCATTTGTTTCCAACAATTATCTACTATATACAATAATCTACTATATTATGTAAGATGTAATAAACCACCTTATTTGATATATTTGATGAATTTCCATTTTTTTATATTTTTTAAAGATTATTTGAGAGAGAGAGAGAGAGAGCACGTGCACGTGTGCACGTGAGTGGGGGGTGGGGCAGAGGGAGAGAGAATCTCAAGTGGACTCCACACTTAGTGCGGAGCCTGACGCAGGGCTCGATCCCAGGACCCTGAGATCACAACCTGAGCTGAAGCCAACATTTAGATGCTCGACCAACTGAGCCACCCGGGCGCCCCATTTTTTTTTTTTTTAATAATATAACTGTTGGATTGGGAGTCACTGATCAAAGATGGTTCATATTTGTTTCCCACAGAAACACCATGCTCATCTGTTCTGCTAGCATAGAATAAGAAAGCCCATTTCTTTAAACACGCAATAATATTAGGTATTAATGTGATTTTTATTTTATTTTATTATTTATTTATTTTTTGAAGATTTTGTATATTTATTTGACAGAGAGAGATACAGCGAGAGAGGAAACACAAGCAGGGGGAGTGGGAGAGGGAGAAGCAGGCTTCCTGCGGAGCAGGGAGCCCGATGCGGGGCTCGATCCCAGGACCCTGGGATCATGACCTGAGCCGAAGGCAGACGCTTAACGACTGAGCCACCCAGGAGCCACCTTAATGTGATTTTTAATCTTTACCATATTGATGATCTGAAAATTTCATTGTTGCCCTATTTTCTAATATATATATGGGCTCTCCCTTAGATTTTTTTTTAATGAACTACATATTCATGCATGCTATTTGCACACTTTCTGTTTGGGGTATTCATTTTTTAAAAATTGACTTGAAGGCATTACATTTGTGATACTTTGTTTTAAAAGCGTCAAGAACATTTAGAGGAATCCAGTAATGCGAAGATCATATTCTGGGGTGCATGCTAAGTCCTTGATATTTTAAGGTATGCCCCACAAGGTATTAATGTTTAAATAATTGAAGCCACTAGACAAAAAAAAGAAAGAAATAAATAAAAAAAAAAAAGAAAGAAAGAAAGAAAAAAGAATTAAATCTTTGGACATTTTTCCTAAGTAATTTGATGGTTGGGGTAAATGGGAATGCCTAATTATGGATGTCACTGGATTCTTTAAATAGAATTACACTCATAAGTCAAATAAGACAATTCATAACAATTTGGTCTGGCATTTTAATTTTGTCTGTTAAATTATTCATATGAATACTTTTATGGGTTTAGCCATAAATATTTGATTGGTGGTTCCTTCATGACCATAAACTATCTCAGTCCTTTATTTTTCTCATTTATGTTCAGTGAACATATGGAAAGGTGGGGAGAATTTATTTTTCTTAATAATGAGAAACGTCTTTCCCCACAGACTTATTGAACCTGTCTGATGAGCATTTACAATGGCTGGAGGTCAACATTATACCTGTTCTGGTAGTTTCACAAGGGTGGTAATAAGAATCCTCATTACCTAGAGGGAAAACATAAGTCTCTATCTTACAGCTGAGGGAACTGACGTTCAGAGAGGTTGGAAATTTTCCAGAAGTCGCACAACATGTTGGTGGCTGAGTCTGGATTCCGGTCCAGGTCTATGTAGACTGAAAGATGGAACCTTCGCCGTCCCCTGGTGATTGTCGTGACTGGTCCTCTCTGAGCAAAGCCAGTGGGCAAATAAATGGCCATTCTCTGAGTGTGCCCCTCCATCGGCAGGCAAATTTAGGAGGTAGATTCCAACACCCAGAAAGCCATGTTCTGCTTCTGTTTTCTATGCACCTGGCTGCATAGACAAAACCTTCCCTGGTGTAAAGAGGTGTCTGTATGCACTGCGTGGTGCAGACATGTTTGAGCAGGTGCAAGATCCGGCAGGCAGCTGAGTGTGGGCAGCTAGATGGGGATGTTCGAAGATGTTTCTTATAGGCGACGTTGTGGGGTGTGGCTTTTGGTAGATGATGACCCATGGCTTAGTGGGGTCATAAGCCATCACACCTACCAGTGATCTTTCAATTCCTCTTGACCCTAAACAGAGGGAGGCATGCTTCTCTGCTAGAGAAAGGATTAGGAGCATCATCTGTTCCAATGAGGTGACGCTGGGTGGGCTCCTGGATAGCGCCTGGATGGGGGCTGCTCACCAGAGGACCACGCCAATTAGAAGCCTGACATTTTCAGCCCCGTCCTTATCGTCCAGGGAGGGGAGAGGAGCTGGACATGGAGTTCAGGGTGGATCATGTCTGCGTGATGAAACTTCCATAAAATCCCAATAAAAGGGGCTTCCAGAGAGGTCCCAGGAGGTGCTGGGAATGTGCTAGATGCCCCTGCGTCCCTTCCCGCGTACCTCGCGGACATCACCTCCATCTGGCTGTTCATCTGTGTCTTCTATCCTATTCCTTCGTAAGCTGACAAACATAAGAACCTGTTTCTCTGAGTTCTGTGAACCACTCTGGCACATTAGTCAAACCCGAGGCACGGGTCATGGGAGACTCTGATCTACAGTCAGTTACTCGGAAGCACAGGTGACAAGCTGGGCTTGTGGTTGGCGTCTCAAGTGGGGGAGGGGTAGTCCTGTGTGACTGAGCCCTTACCTGTGAGGGTCCCACACTCTCCAGGGAGATGGTGTCCAAAGCGAGTTGGATTGTAGGACACCCAGCTGGTGTCATGGAGAATCGCTTGATGTGTGGGGAAAAGCCCCACGTTTGGTGACCAGAAGCATCAGAAGTGATGGGTTCTCTGTGAAGGTAAAGGGGCGCCCGGGTGGCTCAGTTGGTTAAGCGTCTGCCTTCAGCTCAGGTCATGATCTCAGGGTCCTGGGATTGAGCCCCACGTCGTGCTCCCTGCTCAGCGGGGAGCCTTCTTCTCCCTCTCTCCCTCTGTCTCTCTGTCTCTTTATCAAACAAATAAATAAAAATCTTTAAAAAAAAAAAAAAGGAGACTCACAGGGAGGATGGAGGAGGGAGGACCTGGGCCTTGCTTTACTCAGGAGGGAGACTGAACTGACTTCTGGTACAGATCCCCCACACATCCCCCGGGACTCACTGTCCCTAAGCTTCCTTGGTACCAACCCTTTCGGCTCTGCCCACACAGATCGCAACACTGGATTACACTGTGTTGGGGCATTTCTTTACATTTTTCGCTCAGCCCCTATGTGATGTCTTCTTTGAGGACAAAGCCGGAATAGCCCAGTACCTGCCGCAAGACACTGACTCACTCCATACGTATGTGACAAAAGAAGGAGTTAGTCCACAAATGCATTTTTATCCCCAGCTGCTCCTCTCTGGCTCTGTGCTCACTGCTCTTATAAATAATTTATCTTTCAAAATGGTCGTTTCTTTCAAAATGATTTCTTTGGGGGATTTTAAACGTATTCGCTGTGCTTTATTAACTGTATTTCCATTTGGTGCTTGTCAGCAGTGCAATCAATTTAGCATACCTGGCCTCTTAGAAGGCCACCTTTCTCGTACAAATACTTCATGCTGGGTTTTCTGGAATACTTTGCAAGGGATTGCAAGGACGAGCGTGGGCATGGCTGCGTCCCTCCTTTGGACACGGATCAGGGCTTCAGACCTTGGGTTTGCCTCTCGTTTTCCTCCGGTTTTGTCATCCCCACACTGGACATGAGAGCTGCCTGCGCCCACTGCTTGGCCTGCCCTGGGGCAGGTTTTTTTTTTTTTTTTTAAAGATTTTATTTATTTATTTCAGAGAGAGAGAATGAGAGAGAGCACATGAGAGGGGGGAGGGGCAGAGGGAGAAGCAGGCTCCCCGCCGAGCAGGGAGCCCGATGCGGGACTCGATCCCGGGACTCCAGGATCATGACCTGAGCCGAAGGCAGTCACTTAACCAACTGAGCCACCCAGGCGCCCTGCCCTGGGACAGGTTCATTGCAGCTGCTTCCATGTGGTCCCCAGGTGGCCCCTCACAGAGAGATCCGGCAAGGGGAGCAGGACGTCCCCGACATGCACTCATGCCCTGCTGTCCAGCCTCCCCTTCTGGGCACTGCTAGCTGAGGTCTGGTCTCAGGGTTGGCCGTGGAAGGAGGGGAGGGCCAGGTGGCTGAAGCCTGGAGGGCCAAGGGGGCTCACTTGGAGCTGGAGACGCGCCCCAGGAGGCCATGCTGGCCTCCTCTTCACCAGGGACGCCCCCACTGGGCAGGGGGAATAGGCCCCGGGGCTGGGGGATGATGCCTCCTGACCCTGAGCTGGACGTGACCTGGGGCATCTTTAGGAAGGACCCGGCTGTGAGAACAGAGAGGTATAGCAGGAGAAGGGAGGCAGCAGAGGGGGCTGGCCCCGTTTGCACCCTTCCACCCCCTCCGGTGTGCGCCTGGGGAGACAGAGATCCCACAGCTCTTGGGTTTGGAATCCACACTCGGGAGCACGCTGCATTTTCACCAACAAAACAAGCTCAAGGCTCCCTTCAGAAGCAGGATCAGAGAGGGATCCACAGGAGAACTCCGTCCTTGCCCCGTCAGGTCACAAGACGTCCTGTGCATATTAATTTCCAGTGTCCCGCTCAGTGTGGGAGTCAGAAGCAGGATGCTCCTGCACCACGAGCTGCCAGGGCCGTCTGTAAGCACCTGGAGGGACCCCCAGAACCCGGGCTGTGTGTGTGTGTGTGTCCCCTGGCCTCAGGTTGGCTGCATGTTCCTGTCTCTGCAGGTGGCGCCCCGGCAGGGACCCCGCCCGTGGGGGGCAGCCCGCGGCCTCTGGCTCAGGCCGCGGCCCTCCTGGTCAAGAGGCTCTGGCACACGTGCCGGGCCTGGAAAGTCACCCTCTCCAACCTGCTGCTGCCCGTCCTCTTCGTGGCCTTGGCCATGGCCTTCTTCATGGTGAGGCCTCTGGCCACTGACTACCCTCCCCTCAAACTAACACCGGGCCATTACGACAGGGCCGAAGCTTACTTTTTCAGGTAAGAACCTTTTTTCCCTCCTCTTTTACTTCCCAATTATGTCAGGGTTATGAATAGCAGTAGCTTTGATCCTTTTTAAAAAAAAAATTATTTATTTATTTGGGAGTGAGAGAGAGAGAGAGCACACAGGAGCAGGGGGGAGGGGCAGAGGGAGAAGCAGGTTCCCCGCCGAGCAGGGAGCTGGATGTGGATGCGGGACTCGATCCCAGGACCCCGGGATCACGACCTGAGCCAAAGGCACACGCTTCACCGACCGAGCCCCCCAGGCGCCCCAGCAGCTTTGATACTTTTAAGAATCTCGACTATACATGAGGTTTCATGATTTTGGAGCACTGGCTCGAGAGGGTAAGCTCATGGACTGTAGCAAACCCTGTATCTACCATGTTTTTCCTACTCATGCCTACATGCCTACGATCGAGTTTAACTCCTAAATCAGGCACAGCCAGAGACTAACAAGAGCGATAGCAGAAGACTTGTAACAACAGACTCTCTACAGTTACACGCATGTGGGCTCTCTGAGTAGCTTGCGGTCCTGTGCCCACCCTAGTTCTTGTGCTGATGTGATGAGATCAGGTGAGTAGCCTGAAGGTCTGTCTGGAGGAGTAGCTGCTCCCAGCCCGTGGGCGATCCACACCCAAAACCGCGGATAAGAGGAATTATTGTGTTTCACAGAACCTTCCAGGCTTGCTGTGGGACAGCGACCAGGAGCTGCACGCCCCTCTCTGCAGAGACATGTCTGACTTTTCTCTTGGGGGTGGGAATGAGCCCATGCGCACCCCCAGGCTAGAGGAGGTCGAGTAAATTCAGAGTTTTCCAGCCAGATGAATTTGCAAAGGATGTTCTCAGGGGTTTAGTTTTACTACCGGGGGCCTGACTGAAGGACCTGAGCTGGTTCCCCTGCCAAGACTGAGGCAAACATCTCCCCTGAGCTCTGCCCCAGGCGGGGGGCATCATTGCCCTGAACGCGGACCCGCACAGGCGGCTCATGGTGTGGAGGACACAATGAGCTCTACCTTTGTCAAATACTTATCTTTACTAAAATAACGAGCTTAATTAGCTAGACTCTTCGTGCTTGCTAATATTTGTCACTTTTACGACGGTGTGTAATTTGGAATTAGGCTTAAACAAACAGAGGCAGAGAAGGCAACATCGATTATAAACTGTCTGGTTTGTTTCTCGGTCCTTTGGTTAATTGTACTCTTTCCTCTGTGTGTCCTTATGCTCCGTAGAGTCTGGGTTTAACTCACGAAGAGAATCCTGCAATTTCTCTATTTGGAGAAATGTGTACAGGCCCTAAGTATTCCCTCTGCAAGTGGGCTCCTTTTGCTTCTAGCTAGATATTTTCTTTTCCTGCCCTCATCTTCTTCTCCAAAGTGTTTTAAAGGAACGGACCGAAAGGACAGTGTCACTAATGCGTTCTGGCCAAATGTTCCCATTTTCTGCCACACTCCTCAGGTGGGAAGGAGCAGTAACTAGCCTATTATAAAGCGTGTTTCTTGAAAAAAGTAATAGAAAATGCAGGCTAGCCAAAATAACAATAAAAAAACTTCACAGGTAATCCTACCAGCACTAGCTACTGTAAACCTAGTGGTGTGCAGCCTTCCCCATGTTAATACGTAATATTATTTTATTTATTTATTTTTATTTAATTTTAATTTATTTATTTTGTTTTTAGGTTAATTTAATTTAATTTAATTTTAATTAATTAATTAATTTATTTATTTTTGAGAGAGAGCAGGCCCGCACAAATGGGGGCAGGGGAAGAGGGAGAGGGAGAAATTATCAAGCAGACCCCCGATGAGACTCCCGGGGCCCATCCCTCGACTCCGAGATCATGACCCGAACAGAAACCAAGAGTCAGACGTTCAACTGTCTGAGCCACCCCAATACGTAATACTTTTAAACACATGCATTTTTATTTTTTAGGACAGTGGTATCCCACTACAAAACTCTTCATTTTTTGCTTTTTTACTCAATAACACATTTGTCTGTTTTTGTAAATCGAGCACAACCATGTCACCCATTTTCTTTTTTTTTTTTTTAAAGATTTATTTATTTATTTTAGAGAGAGAGAGGGAAAGAGTGTGTTGGGGAAGGGCAAAGGGAGGGAGAGAGAGAGAGATAGAGAGAGAGAGAAAATCCCAAGCAGACTCCTGCTGAGCGCAGAGCCCGATGCGGGGCTCGATCCCAAGACCCTGAGATCATGACCTGAGCCGAAATCAGGAGTCAGATGCTCAACAGACTGAGCCACCCAGGAGCCCCAACATCACCCATTTTCGTGCCGTGCAGCAGTATGTTGCATGGACGTACCATAATTTATTTGAGCAATCTCTTTTGGGGATGCATACAGGTTTATTTATTTGTTTAAGCAATTTTCCTATTGCAGGCAATTCTGTAGGAATACCTTCATTTGGGTTCATGGCACTATCTAATTGTTTCCATTATCATACATTTCCTTAACACATTTTGGGGCAACAAGCATTAGCATTTTTAAGGTAGATATTGCCAAATTATTCCTATCAATGTGCATCAATTTACAGTCCCAGAAAGGCATCGATTCTTTTACTCACAAATATTTATTATGCACCCACTGTATGCCACATGTTTTGTTTTTTTTTTAAGATTTTATTTATTTATTTAAGAAAGAGAGAAAGAGAGCAGAGGGAGGGACACACAGAGAGAGAGAATCTCAAGCAGACTCTGCACTGAGCACAGAGTCCGACGTGGGGCTTGATCTCACGACCCTGAGATCATGACCGGAGCTGAAATCAGCAGTCAGATGCCCCACCAGCTGAACCACCCAGGGGCCCCTGTCACATGCTTTTCTTGGTGGCAGTTACACCTGAATGAATAAAACAGGCCCAGATCCCTACATTCCTTTTTTCGGGGGTTGGTGGAGAGGAGGAAACTCATTTCTCCAAATTCTCACTGTCCCTTTTATTTCCACCTCTGGGCTCCCATTGCTCTAGGAGGCAGCTCTTTGATTGCTGCTGAGGTTGCCTGTTCTCAGTTATTTCTTGTTATTTGAAATTTCACCCTCTCTATTGATATATCAGATATATCCTACAAGTGTGTCCCACGTTGCCGTGTCACAGGTCCGGACTGACTGCCCCTTCACCTCTCTTCCACCCATGTCATCTCCATCCTTTCCTCCTGAGGGGGGTGAGAACCCCCCCCCATGGTGCGTATTCCATTGGCTCCATTGAAACAGCCATTTGCCTTCTCCACTGCATCATTAATTTGGCAACTGTGTTTTTTGTGTTTTTTCATCTGAAAGCATTTTCCCTGCTCTCCCAGCATGCGTTTTGCATAGAAGTCATATCCTCCCAAACCATTTGGAGCCTGAGAGTTAGAGATATTTTATTTTATTTTTTTCAAGGGGCAAGCAAACGTAAGTTTATTAACATGTGCAGAGTACGTGCACGGGGGAGCACCCGGTGATGAGCAGCTCAAGAGGGTGCTGAGAACTTGGGCTTATATGGCATCTTAACAAAAGAACCATAACCTTTTAGAGACATGACAGGACAAAGGAAAAGGGCTTTGAGCTTTAGGAGCAGCCAGATGTGGGCAGGCAAATATATAGGGACTAATGTCTCATAGAGCTAGTTAGTAAGGTTTGTTATACAGAGTCATTGGGTGCATATCTCTGCTGATAAGGGCCTAGAACTGTTGCTGGTGATTCACTTCTGTCTCTCCTGGGGGAGAAGAGAGAAAGGCACTTACAGAGTTACGTCCTGCTTTCAGGCAAATAAGGAGGAGGGCAGAGAGCTTTTCTTTTCTCTTTTTCTTTTTTTTTGAAGATTTTATTTATTTGTCAGAGAGAGAGAGAGAGAGAAAGAGCGCATAAGCAGGGCAGAAGCAGAGGCTGAGGGAGAAGCAGGCTCCCCGCTGAGCAGGGAGCCTGATGCAGGACTTGATCCCAGGACCCTGAGATCATGACCTGAGCCGAAGGCAGATGCTTAACTGACTGAGCCACTCAGGCGTCCTGGAAAGAGAGAATCTTAAGCAGGTTCATGCCCGAACCCGGGGCTCGATCTTGTGACCCTGAGATCATGACCTGAGCTAAAATCAAGAGTCAGAAGCTTAACTGACCAAACCACCCAGGCACCAGTAAGTCTTTTCAGTGAGGACATGTGTGTGTTTGTTCTCATTTTCGGAATGTTAACATAAACTATGAGGCCGAGCAGCCTTTGTCTCTGGTCCTTTATCTTCTTATCCGCACAGGTGGGCTCCTACCTGTCACAGGTGTGTGCGCCATCGGAGATCACGTATGCCCCTCTTCTGTTCTTGCGTTCCAGACTCAACCGAAAGGACAAGTTTACATTGTATTTCGGTAGAGTAGTAGCCTCCGTAGTTCTGAGGCAGAAAGTAAGAGGCTGCCAGAAATCACCCATACAGATGGAAACTTTTCCTGCTTTGCTGGTTATCTTTCACATTTCTAGTGACTGCCCAAAATCAGAGGGGAGGAGGGTGAGTAGCCCCCCTCTCTGAAGGTACAACTGCTCTTGGTCGACACCCACTCCCCAGATCACTGCTTTTCTCCCATGTGCTGGGTCCTCTGTCAGGATGGCCACGTGCCCTGGTGTGCTGGGGAAACCGGTCCAATCATCTTGGCGCACATTCTACCCATGTCCCTCTCCCTCTTAAATGCCTCCTCCAGTGGGCGATAAATTATCTGACAGGTCTGTCTGTATTGGATCTGAGTGGCATGGTCTGAATCTTAGCACAAGAATGATTCTCAGTGTGGAACAGCTTTTCACTGCTCACATTCCTCCCGATTTCCTACACACGTGCCCACACACACACACATGGGCGCGTGCATGCACATGGCGCCTGGTTCACCCTGCTCTCATCCTTGTTGCTTCAGATGTGGGCATATCCCCATATCGTACCATTTGTGAGCAATCTCCATGGGGTGATACATAGAATTTTCATTACGGCTCCTTACTTTCTCTTTAGCGTAACTCCTAGTTAACAAGTGTACCATTCAGGCCTGCGTG